TTTTGTATTTTTAGTAGAGATGGGGTTTCACCATGTTGGCCAGGCTGGTCTCAAACTCATGACCTCAAGTGATCCGCCCGCCTTAGCCTCTCAAAGTGCTGGAATTACAGACATAAGCCATGGCACCTGGCCAGAAACCACTGAATTTTTCATCATATAGTTTTTTCTTTTCAGTAATGGGATCATATAACTTTTGAGACTGGCATAATGCCTTTCAGATTCTTCTAGGTTACTGAGATATCAATAGTTCATTCCTTTTTATTTCTGAGTAGTGTTCTATCCTGCAGCTGTATCATAGTTTATCCATTCACCATTGAAGGAAATTTGGGTTGTTTCCAGTTGTGACACTTAAGAATAGAGCTGCTAAGAATATTAGTGTACAGGTTTTTATGTAAATGTAAGTTTTCATTTCTCTAGAATTTCATTAAATTATTAATTGCATAATTATTTTTTACATATTTTATTCACTGGCTAATTATTCTACATGCCTAAAATAGTTCCTGGTATATAGTAGGAGCTCAATAAATTAGTAATATGCTATGTTATTTTAAAATGAAGAGGGATAGTGAAATCAGAGTCACTCTGAACTCATTCAAGGTTCATGTCGCCAAACTCTAGATTGCAGTCTACTTAAATCCCAAATGGCCAGAAGACTTACACTGCAAGACACCTGCAAGTTGAGAATGTAAAAGGCTTTTTACTTAAAGTAAAGCAATTCCTTCCTCATGTTTTTGTGGTCATCTGTCAGGTTCCTGACTTGAGGGAAGAGCTTGGGATGAGGTTGAAGAGAATCTGCCTAAGAGAATACTTTAACAGTGATGTCAACATAATTCATTCCTATGCAAAATGCACAGCCAGATCTTCCACCGCGAGAATAATCCAGGAACAAACTTGCTTGCAGAAGCAGGGGAAATAATGTTGTGTTGCCAACTTAGTTTCACTTAAACTCGTAGTAAAGATCACCAGTTGGAACATGGAAAAGGTAAGAGTTAGAGATGAAGAACATAATGAGTGAAGTTGATGTTTATAAAAGAAGTTGATCTGTTAATCCAGAAATGTGTATTTGTAGCCAAAGGCTGTGTCTGCCCTATGAAGTAAAGTATCTTTTTAGATAAGCTGTTTTTTTGGTTTTTTTTTTGTGACGGAGTTTTGCTCT